CCATAAAGACCCTGTGTCAACAAGGAAAAGAATGGTTATGATATAGTTCAGGAATAGAGCACTTATTGAGCACTGGCACACATTGAATGCATGAGACACTGGGATCCTTCCCCTACATTAAAGAAAAAAACAAAGAAAACTCGGCCTCCTAACCTGCTGTCTGCTTAGTTAGAGAGTGCAATGCAAGTCAGACCACATATAGACACCTAGAAACCCTAGCTGGGAAGATTGGTGCTCAAAAATTGTTATTTCTTTGCTGTGACTAAGGAGGGCTTGGGTACAGCTGGGAGGGATGACACTATATGAGACTCAGTTTTGAAAAGGCTCCACTGTTTGGATACTCCTAGTTTTAGGTGAAAATTCCCTTTTTTTTTTCTCCAGAGGTCATTACCACCCCCAAAACATGACTTTCTTAAGATCCTTCTAGTTTAGAACTTCTGAGATTATAAAGTTCTAAAGGATCTCAAATCTTGTAATTCTTGTGGAACAACCTTACAAAGGGATGGTGAAGTTATGAACAGTAAGCCAGATGCTAGCTGATGAGTTCATCGCTTAATACTTAATTAGGAAACATAAAAATTGAGACACAGTCACCCAAGGAATACTCCATCTCATGCATTCAATTAAAATGACAAGCAGTATGTAACCAACAACACACAAAATCAATTGGTCCCATTGTTTTGAACAGGAAAAGTAAATAAAAGGACGACAAGGGTTACTAGTATTGTTTCCGGTTAGTGGAATACAACGTTATTTCTTCCAATGCTTTTCATGATTTCCCAGCTTTCTAGAATATGCCCGTATGTTCATAACCAGAAAATATACATAAGAAGTTCAAACGTGTCAAGCCACACCTGGCGTTGCCAATTCATCTGGAAGTTGCAACGCAGAGATGAGTCACGTTAAAGTAGAGGGAGCAAGACAACAGGCTTTTACTAGTCTGGGTTTGAGGGGGAGGGACAGTCCCTGGTCAGAGTGGAGACTGATCTGCTCAGCTGGAGTTCAACCCGGAAGCGCTGACGGTGGCACAACACCGGGCAAATTCCAGCCTTAGAGGCTGATGATAACGTGGCAGTTGCACCCCTCCAAGGCTCAGCTGCACAAGCCCACCCTCTGTCCTCATCCCTACGACAAGGCTAGCTCCTGCCCCCCTCTCCATTGGTCCACTGGAGCTCATTTAGTCTCCGAAAACCCGCCCCTCTAGGGAAGGGTGGGCTCGCCGCCTAGTCCGGGACTTGAGGTGGCCATGCTGAGTGTGGCAGGCAGAGGTGGGTGGGGCAGTTCTCTCGAACTGCCGGGACTCTACCCTCTGGGTTCTTCTTGGTCACTGGTCTCGGGACCTAAGGAAAGAGGTGATTTACCACCAAAACCATGGCTAACTGGGAGCTAATGTTCGTAAGAAGTGCACATCTCTGGTGCCGCCCCTGGACACCAGTGGGTTTTAGTTTTTAGAGATGATGTCATCCTAAAGCCTCTTCGAGGTCCTAGTGCCCACTCACATTGGAGCTCTTTAGCCATGGGGCAATCAAATAATTCATTATGCAAGCCCAGAGAGCCTAAAAGTTTATTAATAACAATCAGTGCAAGTTGCGCCAAAGCGAACCCACCAGTTCTAAGCTCCCCACCCACCCAAGCCGTGGACCGACCCACAGGCAGGCAAACACACAATCAATCTCTCTCTTTCTCTCTCTCTCTCTCTCTCTCTCTCTCTCTCTCCTAAAATACATGTAAAAATTTCCATTTTAAGCATTACATTCAAAATGTTACACAACCATCACCAATATATACTTTAAATTTTTTCCATCACTGCAAACAGAATCTCTATAACCATTAAACACTAGTTCCCCACTAGTCCTTTTCCCCAGCTCCTAATAATCTTCCATTTATGCCTCCAAGAATTTACTTATTATGTAAGAGGACTCATCTCTAGTTTATTCACTTCACATCTTTTTTCAAGATTAATCCATGCAATATGTCAACACTTTATTCAATTTTATGGCTGAACAATATTTCCTTTTGTGGATATATTTCTCTTTTTTTCTTCTTTTCCTTTCTGACCAGATCTCATGTAGCTCAGGCTGCCCCAGCACTTGCTGTGTACCTAAGGATGACCAGGAACCCCTGATGCTTCTGCTGGGATTACAGGCATGCATAACGATGTTACCAATATTTGTTTATCCATTCATTTGTTAGGTGATTTCTGCCTGTTGACTTGTGAACAATGTGGTGAACATTTGTGTACAGTTTCTTTTATAATTTATTTAGCTTTATTTTATGTGCATTGGTACACAGGTGTCAGACCCCTTCGAACTGGAGCTACACACAGTTGTAAGCTGCCATGTAGGTACTGGAAATTGAACCTGGGTCCCCTGGAAAAAGCAGTCAGTGTTCTCAACTGCTGAGCCATCTCTCCAGTCCCATGTACAGATTTTTTGACAACCCCATTTCCCCCTCATTCTTGCCAATGCTTTATTTTTAGTTATTAAAGCCACCCTAGTATTCTGAAATGCTATCTTATGGTTTTAGTGTGCATTTCCCTGGTAAGTAACATATTGAGCATCTTTTCAGGTACCTACTGAACATTTACATATCTTCTCTGAAGAAATGTCTAAGGCCTTTGACCATTTTTTTTCAATATAATATCTTTGTGTGAGGTGTGTGCTTACATATTTGTGTATCTGCGTGTGAGCACTGCCACTGAGTCACTGATGACTTCAGATGACTCCACACACATGCCATGGCATGTGTGTGGAGATCAGAGAACACCCTTGAGTATTGGTCCTCATCTTCTACCTTGTTTGAGATATTATGACCTTTAGATGCAGAGATCATGCATATAACTAATTTCATCTAGCACTCTGAAAACTTAGTAAGATATGCTTGAATCTTAATTCCCTTCTCCAAAAGAATAAAATTTATGTCATAATTTAATGAGTTTTCTGTTTGTATTTCATGATGGCTAAAGCCCAAAAGATGAACCACTGTTGTATTAAGTGTTTTTTCTACTATTTGATATCAGCTTGAAGATGAGTGTTTAAGTGTAGGCTGGATATGGAAATTCTGAAGTCATCAGTGACTCAGTGGCAGTTATAGTAATGAGGATAGGGGCATTGGTGACATATGCCTTTAGTCCCAGCACTTGGGAGGCAGAGGCAGGCGGATCTGTTAGTTCGAGGCCAGCATGATCTACAGAGCAAGTTCCAGGAAACCTCCAAAGTAATGAGGATAAATGGTAATCACCTAGGTAGAGTGTAGGCTGAGAAAGCAGAATGGACTTCTATAGAACAGCATGTTTTTTAGAAGCTCTCTGCATTGCCTTGAACTCCTGACCTAACAGTGATCCTTCACCCTCAGCCTCCCAAGTTAAATCTACAAGTGCATGATACTGTGCCTGGCTGCTACCCCACATTTCAGAACATCCAGAGAAGGGCTAGAGAGATGGCTCAGCAGTTAAGAACATTGGCATCTTCCAGAGGACTGGGGTGCAAGACCCAGAAACCACACAGTGGCTCCTAACTGTCTATAACTCCAGTTCCAGAGGATCTGAGTCCTCTTCTGGCCTCTGTAGGCACAAGGTATACACATGGTACACATACATACATACATACAAAACTCTCATGCACACAAATGAAGTAATTTTTTTTAAAGATTTATTTATTATGTATACAGTGTTCTTGTCTGCATGTATTCCTGAAGGCCAGAAGAGGGCACCAGATCTCATTATGGATGGTTGTGAGCCATCATGTGGTTGCTGGGAATTGAACTCAGGACCTCTGGAAGAGCAGCCAGTGCTCTTAACCGCTGAGCTATCTCTCCAGCCCAGAAATGAAGTAATTTTTAAGAATAATCTGAGAAAAATAATTGGGAAGAAATTCCAGGAGATTGGGGGAAAGTCAGGAGAGAAAAATGATGACAAGAAATCCACAGAAGGACAAAATTTCAGAAGGAAAGATATATCAAATATGGTTGAGCCAAGGACTGAAAAATATGCTTTTATCTGCTACCAGAAAATCCAGAGTATATAAACCTTTTCAAAACTGACTTAGAGCTGCAAAGGGCCCCAGAGTTCCTATAATTATCTTTTCAAGATAATTAATTGTTGGGGATCATTAAATTCTTAACAGGAGGCAACACAAGAGCACAGGCATAGAAAATTACTATTGATTAAGCACCAATCACGTGATAAAGCAAATGTGAACATATAAATTATATAGCTATTATTTTCAGTATATATGTCTAAAATCCAGAGATCCTACAGTAAGATTGATGGTGGAGGCCGGATACCGTGAGTCCAAGAACCACACCACACACAACCAGTCCAGGAAGTGGCACAGAAATGGCATCAAGAAACCTCGATCACAAAGATACGAATCTCTTAAGGGGGTCGACCCCAAGTTTCTGAGGAACATGCGCTTTGCCAAGAAACACAACAAGAAAGGCCTGAAGAAGATGCAGGCAAACAATGCGAAGGCCATGAGCGCACGCGCAGAGGCCATCAAGGACCTTGTGAAGCCCAAGTTGGTGAAGCCCAAGATGCCGAAGGGCCCCAGCCGCAAACTCAGCCGCCTTGCTTTCATTGCTCACCCCAAGCTTGGGAAGCGGATTAGAAGCTACATGGCCAAGGGTCGCAGGCTCTGCCAACCAAAGCCCAAGGTTCAAACCAAGGCAGAGGCCTCGGCTCCAGCCAAGGCCCCGGCTTCAGCTCCTGCTCAGGTTCCCAAAGGTGCCCAGGCCCCTGTGAAGACCCCATAGAAAAGGTTTCTTCCAGTGTGAAGACAGATGGACTGGTGTGACACGCCTACACGCTATCTGCAGGTGATCATGCCCTGTGCCGTTTTTAAATAAACTTGAAGCAAGACCTGTTAAAAAAAAAAAAAAAAAAAAAAAAAAAAAAAAAAAAAAAAAAAGATTGATGGTGGAGACAGAAAGAGCCCTAAAAGCTTGAGGGCAAGCCAGTCTGGTGCACAGCAGTGGTGAACAACAGACAACAAGCAGATGCAATAGTTATCAAATGGCTTTACCTTTATTTTAGTTTTACATTTAGTTGGCTTTTTTTCCTCACACATGTCACACCAGTAGACTAATGTACCCTCAAGAACAAGGGCCACGTCTTTTTTCTCTTTGCTGTCTCTAGTGCAAACAGGAGTGTTAGTAGACAATGATCAAAGTGTTTGTAGAACAAATAAGTGAATGAGTACATGTTTCAGGGCACAACATCATGTTGGAAATGAAGCGGATATGTTTAGCAGAGTGAACGCTGGTGCTGGGCTGCCAAGGGGTCTTTTCTTTTTCTCTCTTCCTCATGACACAGTCACAAGTTTGTGGTAACAATCCACCTTTCTCCAGTCTCCACACATTTCTCTGGAAGTGACATTTGTAGGCCAATGAGATGTGATAGGGAGTTTCCTAGGGGGAGATGGGAAATGTTTTCACTTAGAGAGGCTTTTCCTCCCTCTGGACTGTATAGTACTTTATTGTTCCTACTTGAGCTATGTCAATCATCTTGCTAGAACCTAACACAAAGTCAGAATTCTGAGGAAGGCAAGCAGAAAGACAGAAAGAAGATCTTGATCCTTATCAACATGGCTAAGAGGTCATTAACCACCCCTGGAGTTGTCCTGGCCAGGGACTTGTGATTAACCCTACTGTTTACACTAACTGAGGAGGTTCATGAATGGATTACATGTGTATGGGGGGGATGGAGGGAGCTGTGTCTTTTTTTTTTTTTTTTTCCTTCATTAAGAGCTTGTGGAAGTCAGGAATGGAAACACATGGCTTTAATCCCAGCACCCAGGAGGCAAAAGCAGGCTTTTGTCTTTAAGTTTGAGTCAGCCTAGTCTACATAGCAAGTTCCAGGACAGCCAGGGCTATATAATGAGACCCTTTCTCAAAAAAATAAAAAATAAAAAATAAACAAAAAGCTGTAGAATGTGTAAAGAGAAGAAGGCTTCTTTCTGTTTATGGAAAAGCCCATGCATGGAGCTCTCTACCTTCTGACAGGACAAAAGTGACAACAAAACAACCAGAGCATGTGGGAGGATTCAGTAGGTGGTGTATGCAAAGCAAATTACCCACACTGTGTAAGTTTATTAGCAATAATTTTCCCCTTTTGATTTCTCAAATTCCATTTTTATATTATCTATCATTATCGAGAAAGGCTCTCCTATGTAGACCTGGCTGTCCTTGGAACTTGCTATTTAGACCAGATTGGCCTCAAACTCACAGAGATCCACCTGCCTCTGCTTCCTGGATGCTATGATTAAAGGTGTGCGCCACCACATCCAGCCCACACACTGACTTTCATAGTCTCAAATCAGGAACCAGAAATAGCAGCTAGTATGTCAAGTGAAGCCAAGAAAACAGAAAGTAGGATCCGTGATATGAAAATATTTTATTTTGACTGTATTTTCAGCCTGAAGGGAGAATTCTCTAACGTGGTAACTGGTGTTTCACACTCCTGATCCTTTCTGGGGCTCTCTTAACCAGCTGGCCTGCTTCTTGTTATTTTCTCCTTCAGATGGCACTTTCTACACTCTAGTTAGTTACTTCTGCTTAGTCTTTGTTTCTCAGTGTGAAATATTATGGCTCCTGGGTAGAAATATCAGAGTCTGAGTTTACAATTGAATTAAAAAAAACTGGAATAGTTTCAGAAAAGGAATGAGGTAGAAATATCTGTAATTCATCATCTTAGAACTGCAACTTTGAGCTGGGCAGAGGTGGTGTGCATGCCTTAAATTCCAGCACTCAGGAGGCAGAGGTAGACGGATCTCTGTGAGTTCGAGACCAGCCTGATCTACAAGAGCTAGTTCCAGGACAGCCTCCAAAGCCACAGAAAAACCTTGTCTGGAGAAAAAAAAAACTGCAACTTTGTTCAGATTTTTCTCCAATATGTTGTTGCTCATTACCTCATTGGATAATATGAGCTATGATTTCTATAATGATTTTTGATGCCTTACTTATTTATTTAGTTTTGAAATAGGGTCTCACTGTCTAGCCCTAGATGGTTTAGAACTCTCTCTATCTATATCTATATCTATATCTATATCTATATCTATATCTATATCTATATCTATATATCGGTGGTCTTTAACCCACCAAGATCTGTAAAGGCCTGTACCACCATTCGTGGCCTACTTTTTCACTTTTATGTAACATAATAGTGTTACTATTACTGAAAAGCCAGCAAATAAGCAACATCCAGAACAGTATCCTAGTTAATTTGTGCTGTTCGTGTGGGTGTGTGTGTGTGTGTGTGTGTGTGTGTGTGTGTGTGCACATGTGCACAGAAAGGTTGTCTCAGTTTCTTAGCAAGCTGCAGGTTGACTGACTGCTGGCATTTCAGTGCAGCAGTGCCATTCTTACTTTCCTGTCCTAAGATGCTATGTTCTTTCTATAAACAGCAGTGAAAGCAGTTGTTCTCTTCCACTGTGAGGGTGATTATCTCTTAGTAGCAGGTGGAGTGATTCATTCTCCTGGATGTCTTAGAGGAGCTTTTATTTGTGGGAGAGAGTGCAGGGAGTGGAATGCTCCAGCAATGTGTCAGGTTTTACACATTTTGGCCCTAGTATAATGAGGAGCAAATTCTTTCCCTGCCAAAATGGCAAAACCTGGAAGCAACGCCCCACTTCTAAGGCTTGAAAAAACACATTATTTATAACATGGCCATGATTCACATGAACAGAACCAAATTGAAATATCAAAAATAGATTCTGTAGATCAATCTGTAGCAAAAATATCTTCTTAGCTGTGAGTTGGCTATAATTACAGGAAAGGCCATTCCATTTAAGTTCTATCACTCTTTCCTCCACTTTGGCTAAATAATCTTTTAAAAATGTTTTTAAAACTTCTTTATTTTATGTCTATGGGTAAAATTTGGTGCACATGTATCTGTGCACTACTTGCATGCTTCATGCCTGGGGAGGCCAGAAGAGGATACCAGATACCCTGGAACTGAAGTTACAGACTTTTGTGAACTGCCATGTGGGTGTTGAGAATTGAACCCAAGTCCTTTGGAAGAGCAGCCAGTGCTCTTAACTTCTGAGCCCAGCTCTCCAACTGCCACTAAATAACCTTTATTCTTCTCTCATGGTATATAGTTATAAGACACTGCAGGCAATGTATTTGAAAAAGGGTTGTTTGCTTTTCCTCCATGGGCTTCTGTTTGTTTTGATGCTAGGGGTTGAATGCAGGGCCTCATGCATGCTAATTACTGACAAAAGGTTTTAATATGAGGTACTCTGGGCTTTTATTGGTATGTTCCTTTTGAAATGGACAACTTAAACATACTTTATATATTAATTGTACTCTTTTAATTGGCCTCCTTGAGTTATTGAGCATCCTTCATCTTTATGCTGTTTATTGAACCACTGTTATTTTTAGGAATGATTATAATAACCTGTAGAGTGGGTTGGAAGGCTATCACATTTGATGGAATTTGAATTCCTGCCAGAGCTATTATTTGTTTCAAATACGAGCAATATGGTTTCAGTCCCTTTTACCTGGAATTTTTTCTCTTTCTATTGATTTTCTGCCTCTATATGAGCCATAAATCTTTTTTTAGGGAGTAGCAAACAGGAAAAGGCAGTTCCATCTTGATAACTACTACTATGTTATAGATATGTATACAGTATCACGGACATAACTTTCAAGAAACTGTATTAGGGCTTTGAGAATCTAAAGATGACAATTTCATCTCGAATAATACAAAGGAATGTAAAGTATTTGTGTATCATAAAGACATTGTTAAATATAAGGACATGTATCATTTTACTAAAAAGAATTCAGATAAAGGCCAGCTCCAGAGTTGATACATTGGCTCACAATGCTTCTGGCCTCCCAGATTAGCTGTCATCAAGAAGTTAGTGTTTTACATTCAGATTTGCATGTGAATGTTCGAAAGAGCTGCATTAACCGTAACTACTGTGTTCTTAAACAGTCACATCCAAAGGCAGAAAAACAGCAGGTTTTCTTCAACTGCACCTTTTCATTAAGGAATAATTTTTTTCTCAAAACCCTCTAGGTCACCTCTTTACTTCTTATTGCTTCAGATTGTATCATGTGCCTGTAACTTAGCTGGAGAAAAGCATGTGTGTTTCCTTTATACTTTAGGTGGGCAATTAATAGTGTCTACCACAAAGAAAAATACAAGATCACTGGATGTGGAGGTCCATTAAAGAATCCTAGCACTTGGTAGGCTGAAGCAGGGGGATCATGAGTTCCAGGAGTGCCTGGGCTATACAGAAAGACACTGTCTCAAAAAGAAGATTTTGATATGTTTTTACTTAAACATTTTTACTTATTTTTTTCCAAAGTATTTTGAACAAGATCTTATGTAGCTCAAGCTGGCCTCAAACTCACCTATGTAGCTGACTAGGATCTTAAGCTCCTGACTCTACTTTTCACTTGCTGGGATGTAGGTTTTGATATCTTTATTGCAGAACAGAGATATCTTTTTTAGATCTTGTCCCATGGGATGTTGAAGAATGGCTGAATTCATGCAGATGACAAATTCTCTAATTCAATGTTTTTTTTTCTTGTTGCTGTTGTTGTTGTTTTTGGTTGTTCGAGACAGGGTTTCTCTGTGTAGCTTTGGAGCCTATCCTGGCACTCGCTCTGGAGACCAGGCTGTTCTCGAACTCACAGAGATCCACCTGCCTCTGCCTCCCGAGTGTTGGGACTAAAGGTGTGTGACACCACGGCCCAGCTGGTTCTTAACTTTTAAAATCATCTATGAATAGATTTTATTTAGAACTTCTCTCCTTTGATACAAGGTTTCATGCAGCCAAACTTTGGTATGTAGTTCCTGCTTGCCTTGAACTTATGATCCTCCTACTTTTACTACCAATTGCTATGATTATGGGAATACACCAATGTGCCTGGCTATAGGAGTTTTTTAGGGGTCCTAAAGAGTAGATTTAGGGCTAGAAAATCACTTTACTGCTGACCCAAATCCCCATCTCTTGTTTTGTTTTGAGGCAGGATCTCACTCTGTATCTTAGACTTAGCTGGAATTCACTCTGTAGCACATGCTTGACTGGACCTGACAGCAATCCTCCTGTCTTAGCTTCCTGAGTGCTGGGATTACAGATGTGAGGCACTAAAGTAGAATAACTAGATTTACAAAGGCCAATATAAAAGTTCCCATATACTCCAGGATCCTCTATTAACAGCTTATATTAATAGGATATGCTTGTTATAACAAATGAATCAGTATCAAAATATTAACTAAAATTCATGCTTTACTTAATTTATTTTAGTTCTGTCTGATACTGTTTTCAAGTGATCCCATTTAGACGAAAACTTACATTTAATTATATTCATTATGTAATTGTCCACACTATGCTTAGTTCATTTTTTCTGATAGCATTCACCATTACCTTATTGGATCATGAATCAGGTTGACAAATCTGCAAGAAAATGGAAATGCTTGGAATGGCTAATTTAAGGGAGACCCACTCAAGAATATGCCGAGGCCCGGCTTTCCAGGGGAAAGGATCGGTCCACATTCCTTCCCCGATTTGAGATCTTATCGAGGCTCTCCTCTACTATGTTGTGTGGTCTTTTCCAAAGGGGCATCCCTATGTGGGCAGTCGTTTCTAATCTGTAATATGAGGGGTTCGATTTATATGACATCTAAACCCATTTCTATCACATAGAAGATGACCATCATCTGATGTTACGGATACCTTTGAAGAAGGGCCAACTAACAGAGAACCAAGGAATTAGATGGCTTAACAATAAGGAGGTAGCTGAGGTTCAAATAAGACAACCTGTATTTCGTTTCATTGCTATGTGGATTTTGCAAGTCATTTCCTCCTGCTGGGCTCCAGTTTCCTCACCCACAAAATGGAGAGGACCTGCTTCTGGTAGTTACGAAACTCCACGGAACAACGGAGGAAAATGTAGGTAGGAAGATGCCGAGCAAGGAAGCTCGTTTAGAAAGACAGAGCAAGTGGGTGAAAGGCAGAACTGAGGAAGGCGAAGCAACGTTTAAGGTTTCTTATCACCTTTGATACACCTTTGCACAACCCAACCCCACCCACGCATTGCTGCGGTCATCCCACCTTGGTTCCGGCTCCGCCTTCGTCCCACCTTCTTTTCCCTCCTCCCTCCTCCAATCG